AAAACATTGCTAAAAATAAATCAGACATATATTTATTGTAAAATCAAACTCATTCGCCGAAGGTAAACAAACCTCGCAATTGCATAAACGCTTATCTCTGGCATGGAACACCAAAAGTCCGATAAATAATTTTAAAAAATGTGTTTCTCCGGAAGAAAACCGGAGGTTTTCAGGATTTTTTAGAAATATCCGGAAGACTTTCATTATTAAAAGCTACACAATGGGCTATCTGTGCTCTGCCCACCACAGGTATCGAAACTCGGATTTTAGAGTTGTAAGTTTGCAGACATACTGCTGTGCCACTGGGGAATAAGAAATATATTTTAAAATTTCTAAACATTCACTTTTGTTTTGACATTATGTGCAAGTGTTCCCAGTGTTCTTGTTTTAGTTAGTAGAGGTCTATAATCCCATCACATACATATTATTTTAGACATTATTTATACAATTCCAAACTCCAATGTTACAGTGTGAACTTCTTATAATTTCTGTTTACTGAGATATAAATGTTGTTGATCCATAAGAAGCTCCACCCATCTGCTCTTAACTTTCAAGGCTGTTTACAAAATCACATCATCTGATTTGGTGTATTTGTTTATAACCAATAGAAAGAACTTACCTTAAACTACAAGCTTCTACTGGTTCTTTTGAAAATGGTGGCAATACACATCAACAAGACATCTTGTATAAGTTGACACTAAAGGATATTGGCACTCATTGCATTTAACAATCTTTACAACTTAGTTATATCTCAGTTAGAAGAGCATTTACATTATAGTTGTTTTGACACATTGTAATTTATATATCATTTATATTTTAAGTTGTATATTAGAAAAGTACATTAATTTTTCTGTCAACAAAGACTTCTACGTTCACAATTTGATGGATGTGTCTTTAAGTAAGAGAAATACTGAAGTCCATATATGACAGGAAATAAAACTATAATATTAAAAATCTATATAAATAGACATCAATATGTGTGTGTATCTGTTCCTTATACCTTTCTACATTTCTTGATCAATCAGCACCAAACTTCACACAGTGATACAGGATGATATGAGGAAGTTCATGTGGGGTGGAGGGTTGTACCCCCTCAAATCTAATTTCAGAAGAACTACAATGTTGTATATACCTAAACATTAGAATGAACTATGTAACCACTGTTGTTAGAATTCTTAAAAACAGTATATCTTTCTTTTCAGTATTGGTACCTTTATGTATTTTTATTGCATTTCTAATGTTTATTATGTTAATAAAAAAAAAATAGAAGCACAATTTCCTACCCTTTGTTACAAACAAGTTTATATTTCACCCGATGGGTATTCCAGCTAGTAGAATATATGCCAAAAAAATAAACAGAAGGAGCTGCAAGTCACGTGAAATCTTATTTAAAAAAAAAAACATTTAAATTACTGAAAAAAGAAGAAAGGTAATTTCATTTTATTTCAGTTTCACTATACATTGATGATTCAGCTACAGTTAGTTTAAGGTAGAGAAAATAACAGATAAAATATAAGCTTTTAACTTAAAAATTTTTTGACATTCATTTAAGAGGTTTTAGAGGTTATAAAAGTTAAATATGAAAATTGTAAGAGAAAAATAACTTTCATTCTTACCATGAAGACCACCTTGCATTCAAACCAATCAGGTTAACTCCATAAATGCACAGAAAATGTTTTAGTAAAAATACTTTATAACAAGTATGATTTTTATACGATGAAAGAAAGTACCCTGTCATAATTAAAAGTAAACTTGATAAATCGAATAAACAGAGTAAAATTTAATGAAAGTACAACGTTTCACCAGGTTAACCTGGCATCATCAGGTACATCAACTACAATGAATGATTGAAACAACAAATAAATTTTAAGTAAATTAAATTTTACTCTATTATCCGATTATTAAATTACTTTAGTATGT